TGAAATATTAGCCTTGCCTGCTACGCCTCTGAGACACACTGACTCCCTAAAACAACAGCCTTGACTCAGTTTAAAATACTTAAGAAAATGTACAAATTGGATTTAAAGAAATAAATGCTGAAACAGATAGGAAGCATTTAAAAAGAGTGAACTTGAACTAGGTGAAGCAAAAACAAGAGGAACTCAAGTAGAAAGAGTTAAAATAAATATTAGGCTAAAAAACTTGAACTAACAAAGCTATTGGCAGAACATGTTTACACTAATTATTATTTGTTTATGTGCACGAAATAAAGTTTGTGAAGATCTCTGATTTTAAATAAACATGAAGCTAGTTAGTTTTTTCTTAATTTGAGAAATTTGCAACCAGCATGGAATGGCCACACTTGTCAGGGGGTCGCTGGCTTACAAGGTTAATTCTCAATAAACATCGAAATAAATCATCTCGTGTTTAACATCAGGATTAAATACCTAAATTATTATGAAATCTTTGCCTCAAGATAACAATATTTACTGACCACATAATTATCGCTCGCGCAGGGGACTGACAGACTTTGACCCATCAACTAACGTGATATTTTAGATAATACTAAGTGGTTATATCTTGAGGTTATCTTGAGATGATTTCGGGGCTTTAGTGTCCCCGCGGCCCGGTCCTCGACCAGGCCTCCACCCCCAGGAAGCAGCCCGTGACAGCTGACTAACACCCAGGTACCTATTTTACTGCTAGGTAACAGGGGCATAGGGTGAAAGAAACTCTGCCCATTGTTTCTCGCCGGCGCTTGGAATCGAACCCAGGACCACAGGATCACAAGTCCAGTGTGCTGTCCGCTCGGCCGACCGGCTCCCTTACTAAGTGGAGGAATGTTATTACTCTGACGAACACAGGTACCTCCCAGACACTGATCCTAAGGAGGGTGTATTAATACACAGTTTCCTCTACTATGTTGATAACACTGCATCAAGTTCAGCTCAAATTTTATTTTCTTAATAACATTTTCATATGAGTCAATTCTACACTGATTTTTTTGTACTGAATCAGTGAACTTGGAGAATGATTTAGAAGTGAGGGTTAATGCTAATGGCATAACCATAAGCGTAAATTATCCAGTGAATAGTGTTAAAAGATCAAAGTTGAGTTGCTTAGTTAAATTCCCAGTGTGGATTGAGGGTATTCCAGAAGTCAAAAGTAATCCACATTAGAAGTAATCCACAATTGCTTCTTCATATCTGGAAGACGCAATTGTGAAGCATTTTGACGAAGAGAGACCCAAGTGGCACAGTCTCAAGTGACACGCTAAGTGCCCCCACACCTGATCTTTTTCCCCCAGATATTTTATTTACAGATAAGGTATTGGCAAAATATTGATATCACAATAAAAGGAGATCCAAGTCTACAACTGCATCACAGTGTAGCAGTGCCGGAGTGAGAGAGTGCTTGGGAAGGCACTGAGGGCTATTATACCACTGGTGTCCTCATGGAGATGTGTAGACCAAGAAAGGCCCCTTTTTTTATACATTGAGTCGAATATATTGCAACAGATAACATTAGCCAAATCTCGCTATCCACTTGGAACTCGTCACCAACGCGTCTTCAATAGTCTCGTCTTGGCAGCAACAATAATTGTTAAGGTAAGAAAGGAGAATATTTTGTATGTGTTTATATTTCAATTTGACATCTATAAGTCATTAGATAGGGAGTTATTTGTTATTTACAACATACAGGAATAACTGTGCATTTACAACACACAAACATACACACACACTCATATACACACTTACACACACACATACAACACACACATACATATATATATAATTTTACTATCAAAAACATTCATACATCTCATGATAATTAAATAAATCACATTGTATGGACACAAAACCAAAATACATCATAATAATAAGCAAATTTTGTGTACATGTGTTCCATTAAAACACTTATATGTATCATATTTACACATAAAACACACACATAAAGTAATTGTCATACGCACAGAGCTGATATATTTGTATATACATAAATAGCTTTGTACACTTCTATTACACTAATTGGCATCAGTCACCTCGGGGAGATGGCGTCGGAAGTGGTATCTGGCAACCCCTATAAAAGGGGGGAAAATAGGGGTAAAATAAATGATAACTCGGCAACTGGTGCTTCGCCCCCTGCAGCGAAATTTGGCTCTTATTTGTAATGAACGAACAGTTCAAAATTGTGTGTGTTGTTATCTCCCTCTATCTCATTCACAATTGGCTACTTTTGTAAGGCAGGAGAAGCGCACTATACGGGTCTAATTATACAAAAATATAAGTTAAAGGGTCATTGTAGCATTCGTATATATGGTAGAGGAAGGTAACCGGGGTCGTTCAGTGCTAACAAGAGCGTATGACTAGATCATGTTAAACAAGGTGGAGAATTGCTCGCGAACCAACTGTCTACTACCCAGCCTGGAGGTAGATGATTGAGGGGGTATGGATGGGGCATGGGTAGGAGGGCATGGGTAGGGGAGGAAATATATACCGGAATACATGTAGGATGATAAGACCTGAGGGGTGGAAGAGTATTACTGACAGAGAGAGAGAGAGAGAGAGAGAGAGAGAGAGAGAGAGAGAGAGAGAGAGAGAGAGAGAGAGAGAGAGAGAGAGAGAGGGAAGCTCTCTGGAACGTCCTTACTAATATACATGACTGAACATCTGGCCAAGAATATTTGAGGTACTGATGGAGCTCTCAGGATGGCACGACTGAATCATGAAATCCCTTAGAAGGTGAGTCGACTTATTCATAAGAATAAAAAAGGGGAATTAAGAGGGAAGGAAAATCCGAAAGAAATGGAGGGATTAGTAGAATTAGACACTCCTTGGGGATGAGGGAGAGAGGGCAGCAAGAGAGGGGAATGAATTCGGAAGAAAAAGAGATGCTGGAGAGAGAGCGAGGATTAGTTACTTAGATACTATCAAGAGGAACTAAGAAGTGAGAAAGAGAGAGAGAGAGAGAGAGAGAGAGAGAGAGAGAGAGAGAGAGAGAGAGAGAGAGAGAGAGAGAGAGAGAGAGAGAGAGAGAGAGAGAGAGAGAGAGAGAGAGAGAGAGAGAGAGAGAGAGAGAGAGAGAGAGAGAACCGAGTGACAGTGAGATATCATATCTGACGAAAACAAACAAACATAACTAATAAAAACGTTAGAGTAAATATCAGAAAACAAAAGAACAGTATAATGCATCAATAAAATAAAATGAATGATTAAATATGAGCTAATCTAAAGCTTTAACCACAAAACTATTGTATTTTAGTCGGCTAGTTAATTATTTGCTGAAAGCATACAAGTTGGACCAAAAGTTCTTACGAAAACTTTGGGATATTGAAGAAAACTATTATGTAGCATAAAACGTGGACCGTCTTAAGGATATATTGTTAGGGTCGCTAAACACACAATGGAGAGGGTTAAGAAAATACGGTTGAGTGAAATGACTGGTTTTCATAAAGAATCTGTTTCGAGCTTTGGAAGATGCGTACTTGAGAGGAGACATGGGACTCGCCATGCTTGTTGCAAATTGATAAGCTCGCCTATCTCTCTAATCTCACCGAGGCAAGTAAGTTCATCAATCTCTCCAAGCTCGTGAGCTGAATTAGATTATCGAGATCACCTAGCTCCTAGTCTCATCAGTTTCATTAACCGTAACAAACTCACTAAGATCATCAGGCTCACTTAGCCCACCAAGCTGAAAAAGCTCATCAAACTCACAAAAACTCACCCAGCTCATCAAGTTCATCAAATTCATTAAACTACTCATAAACAATTTTGGTTTCAAATTGGCGATCAACACTTCGCTGTACAATTATCTGATGAGACTTAAATACATAATTATTTCCTCATAGAATGATTGATGATTGATCTGTTAATTTTGCAACATATTTAAATTAATAGCAAATAATTACAGTACATTCAAAAACAATTTCCAAGCTACATGTCCTGTACTCAATTTTATTGCCAATTTGTTTAAATATTATTTGTGTAAATTGGTAAGCCATTTGTCTCAACTACCAACGTCTTTAGGGATTAGGATTAGCTACACACATGTATCAAATATCACAAAATGTCTCTGGAGGCCTCAGTAAATGTGTACACTTCCAACTGTGATTTGTATTACAGAGTATCGTAGGAGAAGACAATATGCTGATGCACGGGAACTCTCTCCAGGATGCTGCATATTCTCTAATCCGAGGCTAAGGGTCCCAACAAACACAACCAGAGGTGGTACCCGCCAAAATATATATATATATGTAATATATGTGTATATATATCGGATATAACAATATATCCAATTGTTATACTGTATATGTACTGTACACTGTGAAGATTCTTGTGCCAGGCTTCAGTTTAGCGCCGACACGGTAAATCTCACATATAACACAGTGTGAAAGTGCTGGTCAGATACCAATAATTGAATCACCAAAATTCTCAAAAATGTTTAGGATTCTTGGTTGGCTAATTAATGGATTTATTATGCATCATTATTTTCTGGGATTCGTGGGATATGAGTACATTTTAAGCCTACTGGACGCGTGCAATGTGATCACAGATTACAATTTTTCTCTGTCTTTTACTCACCCCTTTACTTCCCAAAACACATACACACTTTTACTCGTCTACTCAGTCTCTCTCTCTCTCTCTCTCTCTCTCTCTCTCTCTCTCTCTCTCTCTCTCTCTCTCTCTCTCTCTCTCTCTCTCTCTCTCTCTCTCTCTCTCTATCTCTCTCTCTCTCTCTCTCTGTCTCTCTCTCTGTCTCTCTCTCTGTCTCTCTCTCTCTCTCTCTCTCTCTCTCTCTGGGCATCATCAGCTCTTTGTGAAGAATACATAAGTGCAAACAAGATGACATAGACAGTGTTTACATATCCTGGATCTTCCCTGCACCTGGCTGGCTGACTCCTTTACCAATCGGTATTATCAATAACTTTTTTTATTTGATCTGTACGTCATGTTCCTATTTGGAATAGTTAATTGTTTCCACACACACACACACACACACACACACACACACACACACACACACACACACACACACACACACACACACACACACACACATATATGCGTCCAATCTCGTTAAAACTTTTTTTTTCTAGTAAGGGAGAAAGGAAGGCGATGGTTCCCAGCCTCCACACTTACGTGCGCATAAAGGTTGTTTTTCAATGATGCTTCAGGTGACAGTGGATGCTGTTCTAAGTGGCAGATGACGATCTCTGACTCGGAGGTGGAGACTTCCCAGGTGATATGTAGTGATCTTGAAGGCGACTTTTCCTCTCTTTACCTTGCCTTACCGTCTTTGACGTCTTTCTTTACACGTACCTAGACACAGAGATGAGCACCTGAGTATACCCACCCACACAGCGACCTCTCTGGGACGGGTACGTGAGTATACCCACGCACACTGTCCTCTCTAGGATGGGTATATTGCGCTCCACAAACAAGCGAATTCACAGAGACTCTTATTTTGTATTATTGCTGTTACTGACGCCTTACTAGTGAATCAGCGCCCATCGTTTTTTGCTTTATCTTGTTTTTTTTTTTATTGAATTTCCATCACATATGCTGCCTACTAGACTGATATTGTACAGATTTGTACTTTTCTTCATTCTAATAATATTTGTATGTATATATAATGCACAATACAAATCCTTTGACCAAAACTGAGCATCTCGTTTTATTGCGCCCATTTTAAGTGGCTTTATGCTTTTATTTTCTTTCTTTTTTCTTTAGCCGTGTCATTAATTGTTATATTTAAGTTTTCGACATATTGCATTTATTGTTTAGTCGAATGTGTTTTTCTTAATTTCCCACTTTCTATAAAGAGGCATCATGTTTTCATTACAATCGCATCCAATTTTCTTTTCGTCGTATCCCATTTTCTTCACTCACAACCCACATTCGCATTATTCATCCCATTTACTTTATTCGTACACCATTATTATTGATAACATCCTTTTTATTATTCATTGAAATCACCTTTTCTCTCAGATCTATGTTTCCATCAGGTATGACATTCTGTCTGGTATACATATATATATTTTCTCTATGTAAATGGTCTATGGCACAGCTGGAGTGCTCGTTATCCCCTAGTGCAGGTGGAGGTAGCAAGTGTTCTCTCTACGTACTTACATGCTGGTATTAAACCCTGTTTCCCCCCCACTTTTTTTTAACTCGCTATTTGGTGTATAAAGTTAAAAATTATCTATGCAACTAGTTGGGAATTTGTTTTGGAAAACATTATAGTCTATAGATTATAGTGAACAAAATATTGCGGGTGCCTATGCGAATGCGCATGAGAGTGCGCATGCCCGTGGGAGTGGACGTAGGGAGGGGGTAAGTGTGGGCTGGAGGAGGCGTGGGAGGTGTGGGAGGTGTGGGAGGCTAGAGAAGGATGTGATGGGTGGGTGAGGCGGGCGTAGCTATGGTCGGACGAGCGCGTCGGTCCTCTCTCCCCGGAGTACGGGTCCGAGTAAGCAGGATCGACGTAGGAGTCCGGATAAGGCGATGGATAGTGGTCAGTGTAGTGTCCTGCTGCCTGCTGCTGCTGCTGCTGCTGCTGCTGCTGCAGGACCCCACCGCCGTTGCTGGTGCTGCCTCGGATGCTGCCTCCGGGGTAACCACTGCTCACCTCCTGGTTGATGCAGGAAAAAGAATAAAATTATGTTAAGACGGAAAAGCCCGCGGTAAATATATTTGCCAGAGTCAACAATGGTAATGAAGAGGAGGAAAGTTTTGTACATTTTCCGACGACCATTTTGGATTAGTCGTCGGAGATGTTTTACGGTGCTGTTTCTCTCTGTCTTTGACTCGTTTCTGTAGGTCCCTGTCCTTAATTCCCTTGTGTAGGTCCCTGTCCTTGATTCCCTTGTGTAGGTCCCTGTCCTTGATTCCCTTGTGTAGGTCCCTGTCCTTAATTCCCTTGTGTAGGTCCCTGTCCTTGATTCCCTTGTGTAGGTCCCTGTCCTTGATTTCCTTGTGTAGGTCCCTGTCCTTAATTCCCTTGTGTAGGTCCCTGTCCTTGATTCCCTTGTGTAGGTCCCTGTCCTTGATTTCCTTGTGTAGGTCCCTGTCCTTAATTCCCTTGTGTAGGTCCCTGTCCTTCATTCCCTTGTGTAGGTCCCTGTCCTTAATTCCCATGTGTAGGTCCCTGTCCTTGATTCCCTTGTGTAGGTCCCTGTCCTTCATTCCCTTGTGTAGGTCCCTGTCCTTAATTCCCATGTGTAGGTCCCTGTCCTTAATTCCCTTGTGTAGGTCCCTGTCCTTAATTTCTTTGTGTAGGTCCTTGTCCTTGATTCCCTTGTGTAGGTTCCTGTCTTTGATTCCTTTGTGTAGGTTTAATCTTCTACTTTTAACTCTCTCTGTCCCTATATTTTCCTTTGTACTTTATTTGTTCAAATCAGTGATTCATTAAGTAAAATTCCAAAGTGTGCATTTTTATTTTTGTAAAAAGTTCAAATAGTGATAACAAATATGAAATCCACTTTACATTACAAATATTAGTGATAATACAAATTTCTGGGATCAGAACAAAAACAAAAGTACATAATTCATTTTGCAAAAATTGAAGAAAGTTTTTATGTGTAATTATTATTATGTGTAATAATACCAACAGATATTTTCGATTAGGAAATAACCTGGAGGTAATCTGGTAGAGGAGAGATGTGTGTTCAGACCCCGGGATGATAATGTATTAACGCAACTGACACAAGGAAAGACGCACATACACACATGTATATACACGCTCAAATGTATATACACACAAATGTATAGAGGCACACACATGTATAGACGCACATAGGTGTATAGACTCACACAGATTATGCATAGAGATAAACGCATAGATGTATAGACATACAGCTGTATAGACGCAACAGATGTATAGACAAACACACTAATGTGTGTAAACACACAAATATATAATTATCGTTCTGGACCTGCGCAGTGACGAGTCAGCATTTATAAGCTAACCAGACATCTTCTGACCTCGTGGGTAAAGTCATATTGACCTGACCAGGTCCCACACAATAACCAGGTCCCTCCTACATGAGTCAGTGATGAAGGCCTCTTGAATCACTAAATATACTTCCTGACTTGCTACGGTGAATTCACTCTTCTATTGTAAGATACAATTCAACATCACTTTGGTTATCATTCGTAGAATTCAATACTCATTTCAAATTAACAACTAAGGCAGTTCATATTTATATGTCAATAGTTGTGTGTGTAATGTATTGACTCAGACTTTGCCTGGAGAGAACGTTATCAAGAAGTTAGTTATCTCTTAATCCAAAAATTTCGTTATCGAGATCAGATACCATCTTTCGCCACACGTAGAGGTTTTTGGTGATATATATTTACTAAGAGTGAGTCACCGGATGTAACCGGGTCTTTCTCCCCTTTTCCCCCCTCCCCTTTGCCACAACGTACAAATTACAAAGTGCTTACCAAACCAGTGACGCACAAGCCCAAAGCTCCCACCTAACCTTACCTTCCGATGCATAGAAAACGTGGGTTTTTTTTTGTATGCCGCCACTTTTCAGAGTACTTTTTAATATGCACTTTGGGGACCATAATGCCCAAAATGAGACGTTTCAGTTGCAGCAACAGCACACACACGCTGCCTTTTAGCCAGGCTGAGGCTCAAGCCATGCTTTGCCCAATCTCATTTACAACAAGTAATCACCTGTATCCCATGCTGAGATTTCACAGTCCCTCGCTGGTTCGGATCACTATTCTTTTTCGTTATCTTTATGTAACCAAGTGTCAATTGGTCGCGGTTTGCGTGTGACACCTCTCTCACAATAACGTGGCTGAAGTATGTTGGCCAAACCACACACTAGAAAATGAAGGGACGTCGACGTTTCGGTCCGCCCTGGACCATTCTCAAGTCGATTGTGACCTCTCTCTCTCTTTCCGGAGGAAATGTAACACCATTCTAAGAGTGAATTAGAGCATAGTAAGAGTAAGAACACTACCTCACACCCTCTTTACCATCACGTAAGCTCAGTCTTGTCTGGTGGGGTTTTCTCATCTATTTAAGAAAATGATCAATCTTAACTAACGAAATTATTACGATAACCAGTCTGGGGGGTCATCGTTGCGCTTTAGGATACGGGTATAGGGACCCCATGACCTCACAACACACAAATGTAAACAAACACCAATGTTTAGATGCTCGCAGTTGTATACACGCGCTAATGTTTAGATATTTATAAATGCTACTTACTCATAACCACGCCCAAACCTACGCCCCTTGCCCCACAACCACGCCCGCACCCACACCCACGACCAACACACACACATTCGCATCCCTCTTCGTTCTGCAGACCCGAAAGTTTTGATGGGTGGTCAGTTTAGTGTCGGTAAAATGTACACGACGAAATTGTGTTGGAGATGAGACCCTTGGTAAGGTGACTGGTGTAGGTCAGAGCCTGCTTGAGTCTCCTGGTGACTGGTGTAGGCCAGAGCCTGCTTGAGTCTCCTGGTGACTGGTGTAGGCCAGAGCCTGCTTGAGTCTCCTGGTGACTGGTGTAGGCCAGAGCCTGCTTGAGTCTCCTGGTGACTGGTGTAGGCCAGAGCCTGCTGGTGTCTCCTGGTGACTGGTGTAGGTCAGAGCCTGCTTGAGTCTCCTGGTGACTGGTGTAGGCCAGAGCCTGCTTGAGTCTCCTGGTGACTGGTGTAGGCCAGAGCCTGCTGGTGTCTCCTGGTGACTGGTGTAGGCCAGAGCCTGCTGGTGTTTCCTGGTGACTGGTGTAGGCCAGAGCCTGCTTGAGTCTCCTGGTGACTGGTGTAGGCCAGAGCCTGCTGGTGTCTCCTGGTGACTGGTGTAGGTCAGAGCCTGCTTGAGTCTCCTGGTGACTGGTGTAGGCCAGAGCCTGCTTGAGTCTCCTGGTGACTGGTGTAGGCCAAAGCCTGCTGGTGTCTCCTGGTGACTGGTGTAGGCCAGAGCCTGCTGGTGTCTCCTGGTGACTGGTGTAGGCCAGAGCCTGCTTGAGTCTCCTGGTGACTGGTGTAGGCCAGAGCCTGCTTGAGTCTCCTGGTGACTGGTGTAGGCCAGAGCCTGCTTGAGTCTCCTGGTGACTGGTGTAGGCCAGAGCCTGCTGGTGTCTCCTGGTGACTGGTGTAGGCCAGAGCCTGCTTGAGTCTCCTGGTGACTGGTGTAGGCCAGAGCCTGCTGGTGTCTCCTGGTGACTGGTGTAGGCCAGAGCCTGCTTGAGTCTCCTGGTGACTGGTGTAGGCCAGAGCCTGCTTGAGTCTCCTGGTGACTGGTGTAGGCCAGAGCCTGCTGGTGTCTCCTGGTGACTGGTGTAGGTCAGAGCCTGCTGGTGTCTCCTGGTGACTGGTGTAGGCCAGAGCCTGCTGGTGTCTCCTGGTGACTGGTGTAGGTCAGAGCCTGCTGGTGTCTCCAGGTGACTGGTGTAGGTCAGAGCCTGCTGGTGTCTCCAGGTGACTGGTGTAGGCCAGAGCCTGCTGGTGTCTCCTGGTGACTGGTGTAGGCCAGAGCCTGCTGGTGTCTCCTGGTGACTGGTGTAGGTCAGAGCCTGCTGGTGTCTCCAGGTGACTGGTGTAGGCCAGAGCCTGCTGGTGTCTCCTGGTGACTGGTGTAGGCCAGAGCCTGCTGGTGTCTCCTGGTGACTGGTGTAGGTCAGAGCCTGCTGGTGTCTCCTGGTGACTGGTGTAGGCCAGAGCCTGCTGGTGACTGGTGTAGGTCAGAGGCTGCTGGTGTCCTCGGGTGACTGGTGTAGGCCAGAGCCTCATTGTCTATGTATCTAGACTCCAGTGGAGTCCAGATGATCTAGATCTTCTAACGCACTTCAAGCATAGAGTGCGTTATATATATGGGCACAACACCCCACGTATGCGTTATATATATATATATACGTTATGTTCCATATATAACGCACTACAAGCTTCTTGTGCTCATATATATTGCCTTGTTAGCCTCTTGTGCTCACTTAAAAGCAATTTAAAGTTTTGTTTACATACTACTAGCTCCCTGTACCTACATAAAACACACGGTTTAAATTTATATAATAATAGGAAAGGGCGCAGTAGTTAAAAGTAGTAGTGGTTAAAGTAGTTGATAGTAGTTAAAGACACAAGTTAAAGACGCAGTAGTTAAAGTAGTTAATAGGGCGCAATAGTTAAAAAGTATTGCGCCCATGTTTAGGTCATTCTAAATATTAACTATCAATTTGGAGCTCCGAAGTAACTGTGCATCCGATTGTAGCCGCATTCTAATCTGCTGTATCCGGTTGTAGCACCATTCTAACCTGCTGTATCCGGTTGTAGCCCCATTCTAACCTGCTGTATCCAATTGTAGCCCCATTCTAACCTGCTGTATCCAATTGTAGCCCCATTCTAACCTGCTGCATCCGGTTGTAGCCCCATTCTAACCTGCTGTATCCAATTGTAGCCCCATTCTAACCTGCTGTATCCAATTGTAGCCCCATTCTAACCTGCTGCATCCGGTTGTAGCCCCATTCTAACCTGCTGTATCTGGTTGTAGCACCATTCTAACTTGCTATACACGATTGTAGTCCCAATTTAACGTACTGTATCAGATTATACCTCATTCTAACTTGCTATATCCGACTGTAGCCCTATTCCAATCTGTTGTACTATATTACAGCCCCATTCTTTACTTGTTGTTATCCGATTGCAGCCTATTCTAACCTGTTGTATCCGATTGTAGCCTCAATCATAACGTGTTCTATTCGAGTATAGTCATTCCTAGCGTACACATAACCTTCAAGTAGCAAAGTGTATACACCTAATTCACCCTTCCCCGTAGCTAAGTGTACATTCAGCCCCTTCCCCGTAGATACCCACCCAACTCACCCTCCCCCCGTAGCCAAATCAACAAACCAAACACACACACACACACACACACACACACACACACACACACACACACACACACACACACACACACACACACACACACACACACACACACACACACTTCGACATAGTCAAGTGTACCTCACACATATTTCCCCGGTAGCCACCCCCACCCTTAACCACCCCCCCCCTCTAAGTGTACCTACAAAACTAACCCCCTTACCCCTCCCCCCCCCCACCACCCCTTTTTACGAATATGCTAATGAGCCTTGCGTGTATGGCATTATATTTAAAACTCTGACTTATTAGGGGAGATTAATATATCATTAGACAATACAGAAATACAATCATTTCACACGACGGGGCAAATGGCCTCAAATTCCCTCCACCTTTTTTTTGGACATAACAAAATATTGACTTAATAATGAGGCGCTGGTTGGATGTTGTTGTTGTTGTTGTTGTTGTTGTTGTTGTTGTTGTTGTTGTTGTTGTTGTTGTTGTTGTTGTTGTTGTTGTTGTTGTTGTTGTTGTTGCTTCGGGTATGGGTGTTGTTGTAGTTGAAATTAAGGTTGCTGTTGTTGCTGAGGGTATGGTTAGTATTGTTGTTGTTGTTGTTGTTGTCTAAGGTTTGTTTGTTGTTGCTGTTTAATTTATGGTTGTCATTATTGTTGTTCTTGTTGTCGTTGTTCTTGAAGGTATGGCTGTTTTTTGTTGTGTCTGCTGTACGCCAGAGCGTGTCCAGCTATCTAATTGTTCTTTGTTCTTCAATAATCTGTAGCATATACGCACACACACACACACACACACACACACACACACACACACACACACAATGACACCCTCCCCCTGCCTTTCTCACCTGATAAACGAGGTCGGGTGGGCGTGGAAGGGCGTGGGACTCCGGGTTTAAGGGCGTGAGGGCGGAGGCATCGTCCCCCTTCAGCACCGGAGTGGGCGGTGTCACCCCCACAGGCTTGTCCGGTGAGGTTTTCCGTAGCTGTAGGCAGGGAGGAGAGAGCAGGGGAATATTAGTACAGGGGCTGGTATGTAGGGAACAGTGCAGGGAATATCCCGCCCACCATCTTAAAACGATAGTTTGCGTAGAAACTACGTTCTCGAACGTACGAAAATGAACTGTTGCACCCCCAAAAAAGTTCACGTTTTGTGTTAATGAATTTGTCAAATTAATATTGAAAAAAATGGAAAACTAACTTAATAATCTATCCAAACAATCCTAGGGATAACGTGCGCTATTTTAGTCTAAATTCTTAGGCCTAGGAATGTCTAAATTAGATTTTTTAGTGCACTATAAACAATTGATAGTGCAATAGGTAAAAAATGTGAGGGGTAAAACAGTCCATTTGTGTACGTTCAAACAAATAGTTACTATACGTACTATCATTTTTAGGAGGATAGGCGGAGAATATTTGTTAGGGTACAAAAAGGGGAACAGATAATATTAGTATTTGGAAAATTAGTAGGAAAGGGAACGAGGGAGAATGCTCGTATGGGGAAAGGATAGCAGATAAAAAAAGAGAGGGGGGGGAGTATTAATGTGGAAGGGATACCTGGGAAGGAAGGTGAAGAGCACTAGGGTATATTACTCTGTGGGAAGGACGAGTGAGGGGCAATATCTGTGTGAGGGGAGTAGGTGAGTAAGAGGAGTCGGGAGTTGGGAGGAGAAATCTGAAAATATATGTGCGGTACTGGTCGTAGGAAGGAGTGATTAAGGTAATATTTGTATGGGAGGGAGGGAGAGACAGAGAGAGAGAGATAGAAAGAGGGAGGGAGGGAGAGAGGGACAGAGAGGGAGGGAGAGAGGGAGAGTGGGAGGGAGGGAGAGACAGAGAGAGAGAGATAGAAAGAGGGAGGGAGGGAGAGAGGGACAGAGAGGGAGGGAGAGAGGGAGAGTGGGAGGGAGGGAGAGAACTGGTGAAGACGGAAGATAATTAGAGGAAGGTGGAGGGTTGCAGAGGGTAGAAGAAAGAAGAAACTTTTATATTTAAGTTTCCATCTCTCACCCCTGCCCCTCCACCCCCCCCCCCCCCCCATCCCCCCTCCCCAGGAAGTATGGGAGAGGGAGGAGGTAATCAGGAATAAGAGAGAGAGAGAGGGGCAGGATTAATGTCGTTAGGCAGAGAGATGAACAAGTCGAGTGATCGGGAAAGGGAGTTAGGCAATAGGTATAAAGGGTACATATTGGAAAATGTGGCCTTGCTTGTTTGGACTGGGAGAGAGAGAACATTTGTGCTTGCGGGAGGAAGTATATAAGGGAAAGGACTAATAGGGAGTGACAAGGGGAGGGCATAAATGGTGTGTGGAAGGCATAGACGAAATAGGGATGAGGAGACACGCACATGTGGTAGGAGGCAGAGCACCTGCCCGACCGTCCAAGTAGTTAGACACCATTCCGTTTCCCCCGTCCCATCCCAAATCCTAATCCTTACCCTCTTCCGAGTGCTATATAGTCGTAATGGCTTGGCGCTCTCTCCTCATAGTTTCCTTCCATTCCACTGATAACCACAAATGAGCGAAATGAATATAAGATTCACCCTTCAGCGTATTTGTATATGTCTGTTAGTCTGTCCGACACATTTGCTCGCGTTCGGTATAAGTGTATGTGTATCAGTAGACTATGGTAAACTTGGTCTTGCTTGCTCTGACCTGAGCGAGGCCTTCGACGTTGCTGGATAGATAAGCTGATAGATAAGCTTGTAAAACAGGGTGTTAAATGTGTCATATTAAATTTGATAAGAGTATGAGTGATGGGGGAGGAAAGAGAGATAATATAATGATTGATTGGTCAGAAACAGTGAACATAAATGCTTGATGGGCAGGAAACAAAGTCTATATGATTGATAGGTTGAAAACTTTGAAGATAATTGATTGATGGTTAGAAAACAGAGAACATAAATTATTGATGGATATAGGTAACAAAGAACATAAATGATTGACGGATAAGCATCAGAGATAGCATAAAACGAATAAACTCTAGGTGAGAGAGAGTCACACGTGCCGCTCAAAGGGTTCTGCCAAGAACCTTTAATTTGTCAATAACATTCACAAATAATCGACATAAATTGGCAAATAAATCAAATTGGAAACGATACAAAAATCAGAAGCATCGACGCTCAAAATCAGATACAATATAGGCTCAAATTCGGACATGTTATACACTCAAAACAGGTGACGATAACGCCAAGATAACGAAGATAACGAAGATAACCATACAAGGCTTGAGGATGGAAAACGAGCTTCAGCGTAGCCAAAAATATTCCATTAAGCATTGAGGGCAAGAGTGTGCTATGCTATATTAGCTCAGCAATATAGACCTTGGAAAAATTAAACTGCGATCTTGCGTAATTTTGCCGAAAAAGGGTTCAATAGATTCAGGTTAACTAGTGCTAGTTACAGGCGTGCTAAAATTATCCTGGACACGTAATAGTCGTATCAAAGTTATCTTGTACACGTAATAGTCGTATCTATGTTATCCTCCACACGAAATAGTCGTATCAAAGTTATCCTGTATACATAGGCATACAAATGTTATCCTGTGCACTATCCTCGACCAGTGACTCAGTTATAATTATTATGAGCAGTTTTGATCATAATTAATATTCACGAAGACACAACCTATCAAGAGAAGAAAGAATAAGATCTGCTAAAGTTCCCCCCTCCCGGGAGACCAGAGCGAGAAGGCGATGTGATAAATGACAGAAAAGCATTACCATGGTAAAAATGAGGGAAGGAGTATGAGAAGGGAGTCAAATTGTTTAGGGGTGTCTTGTCCTTCCATGATCCTGGCAGGTTCAGTCTCAGCACAGAGGCAGGATTCGCCCTGACGGTGGCCGTGACTTGAAGCCCGTTTCGGAGACATTAAGCTCATGTGTTTGTAGGATGGTGAAGTAATCCTGATAGTGATTAAGGATCTTGGTTATCTTGAGGTTATCTTGAGATGATTTCGGGGCTTTTTAGTGTCCTCGCGGCCCGGTCCTCGACCAGGCCTCCACCCCCAGGAAGCAGCCCGTGACAGCTGACTAACACCCAGGTACCTATTTTACTGCTAGGTAACAGAGGCATAGGGTGAAAGAAACTCTGCCCATTGTTTCTCGCCGCGCCTGGGATCGAACCCAGGACCACAGGATCACAAGTCCAGCGTGCTGTCCGCTCGGCCGACCGGCTCCCCGGCTAAGGATGAGTAGATCCATGTTCCACTGTTCTTGGGAAGATTTAGAGCTTTAAGGACTCTTGGGAGCTGCATCTGTATATTCTGTTTAACATCTTGACTGTATGAGATGCACTGACAACTTGAACTTTGGTTTGCAAATGGTTGGAGGTTTCATCACATAATAATTATCTATACTCGTTCATTTAGATGACGCTGTTATGTGAGACAAAGTAGTATGAGAACTACTCTTCTCATGCACGTGTGAGAAGAGAACGGAGGAGTGAGAGGGATTAATGCTTGTAGAAGAAGGGGAGGGAGGGAATTATCAGGGGGAAGCGCCAAGCCATAACGAGGAAAAATAAAGGAAAAAGGGAGAAATGAATGGGGGAAGAGAGGGAAATTAAGGGATGAGTACGAGGGAACAGTGAGGGAATGGAAGGAGTGAGTAAGAACAGGAACATAAGGGAAAGAGAAACATTTAGAGAGTCAGGTAAGAAGGGAGGAAAGGAGAGATTGACGAAGGAGGAGAACGAGACAATGAAAAAGTGAATCAGGGAAGGTAAAGATATCAAGTATGAAGGATGGTCACAGACGTGAGGTGCTGGTGTGTGTGTGTGTGTGTGAGGGCAGATGAATGGCCCCAGCGAGATTTATATGGGTGAAAATAGAAGCTGTATAGGATGGAGGGGCACACAGCCGGGCAGGTGGGAGAGGTGTTTACTCACCTAGTTGTGTATGTGTGGGATAACCTACAGCTCTTGGATACCGCCTCTCAACCCTTAATAAGAGTTGTGTATAGGTACCAGTACCTACTGGGCTCTGTCATAGCTACATTTGAAGCTGTGTGTGGGAGACGTTCACCTCCAAAAAACTTTCTAATGTCTTTGTGGCTCTTTTAGGTGCTTAGTACGTCCTCCTTGTCCTATATACTACCTCTGATAAAGAGGCTGTCATTGTGTGTCGTGTCTATTCCCTCCTGCAAATTCTGTATGTGGTAATCATGTCTCAACTGTCTATTTTGTCTTGCAATTACATGAAGTTTAACTTTCTTGGTCTTTCCTCGTAGCTCATACCTCTCAGCCCCGGGACTGAGGTTGAAAGGTATGAGATTACAGAAAAGGGTCAGCATAGTGATTCCGCTTCTTCTTTTAGTATCCAAGGCGATATCTTTTATAGTTCTATAGTTTTTGCTTCATCCAGTTCCCGTAATTGCATTTTCATTTCAGTATGTATGTGTGTATGAGAAAATGTGTATATATGTGTGTGTATTTACCTAGTTGTGTATACTGGAGTTGAGCTCTGCTCTTTCGGCCCGCCTCTCAACTGTCCATCAATCAATTGTTACTAACTATTAACATATTTTTGTTTTGTTTTCACACACACCCCTCCAGGAAGCAGCCCGTAATAGCTGCCTAACTCCCAGGTACCTATTTACTGCTAGGTAACAGGGGGCATCAGGGTTAAGGTGTGTGTGTGTGTGTGTGTGTGTGTGTGTGTGTGTGTGAGTGATATGTGTTTGTTTCAAGTATTTTTATATATATATATATATTTTTTATAATTCCCCCCTAAGCAATATATTTGCCGCGTGAGTTCAATCTGGCGAAGAAGACCTCACACATTCTCCCCCAAGATGCCGAAAATAGATCTATTTTATTCCCTTCCCAAACGTTTCTCGCGAAATAGTTTACGATACCTGTCAATTCAAGCTGTCTACGGTTTCTACATGCCATACCCGTCTATATGATATAGCTTTCGTTATTGCCTACTGTATGTCTACAACAGTGTTTGCTTTGCCCTTCCGTTTGTTTCTACCGTATGTTTACCTCGCCTGTTCCTCTGTGTGTAGTCCTGAGCGCTGACCGTCAATGTCACCTGCAGACAGGGAAGAGACGGCTCGATATTGCCTGCTCCACAAAGCCACAAAAGAACTTGATGGATGACGTTGACAGAAGAAGATGGGAAGGAGGGGGATGGGAAGGAAAAGCCAACAAGCGATGATGGGGCTGGGAAGAATGATCGGGCCATAGCGGATGGAAAGAGCGATAATGGTGAGAATAATGAAAGACATAACAATGACGGCGAGACTAACGGAAAAATGGTGGCGAGGAGGATGATGTTATAGTTATGACTTGTGTCTTCAGGGGGATGGTGTGTGTCTTCTCTCTTCCTATGACGACGGATAGATGGATGGGGGCTTATTTAGAGACTGGTTAGGGGGGCTGAGTATTATCGTTCTGGGATGTATGGGGGGCTGGAGAAGGTAAAAAGAGGGGCTATGTATTGTGTTATATTTGCCACATAAGCTAGAGGGGAGGAATGTGTGTACCGGGGGCTTGTATCAGACCCCTACTCAGAGCGTCGGGTCTCAAAGTTGTTTGCAAGAAAATGGAAAATTAAGGTGAGGAGTGTGAGTGTAGTTAGAGACGAGGGGTGTAACACAGAGAGGTGTACCACGTTCTTAACTGTGTATACAGGGAGAGTTTAATTTAGTCATGGACAGTGTCTAAGATTATATATACTTGCTGCTTGATCAGTAAGCAATTGTGATGCCATTAATAATCCTCCAGAGAGAGAGAGAGAGAGAGAGAGAGAGAGAGAGACATAAAAACAGACCCGGGTGCCGCCGGGTGCCGCTTCTAGTCTATATAAGTCCACCACCACCACTGACCTGACACACCACCACGCCCACCACCACGCCCACCACCACCACCACTGACCTGACACACCACCACGCCCACCACCACCACCACTGACCTGACACACCACCACGCCCACCACCACCACCACTGACCTGACACACCACCACGCCCACCACCACGCCCACCACCACCACCACTGACCTGACACACCACCACGCCCACCACCACGCCCACCACCACCACCACTGACCTGACACACCACCACGCCCACCACCACCACCACCACTGACCTGACACACCACCACGCCCACCACCACAACCACCACCACCACTGACCTGACACACCACCACGCCCACCACCACAACCACCACCACCACTGACCTGACACACCACCACGCCCACCACCACCACCACTGACCTGACACACCACCACGCCCACCACCACAACCACCACCACCACCACTGACCTGACACACCACCACGCCCACCACCACAACCACCACCACCACTGACCTGACACACCACCACGCCCACCACCACAACCACCACCACCACTGACCTGACACACCACCACGCCCACCACCACAACCACCACCACCACTGCAGGGATGATCAGGAAGAGCCAGTTGACGCTCCGGTCCTTCTGCCTCACCGGAGGGAACTGCTTGTCTGTGGGAGAGAAAACACCAATCAACTGAATACCAATATATATATATATATATATATATATATATATATATATATATATATATATATATATATATATATATATATATATATATATATATATATATACACAATCTCAAGTATTTGGAATATTTAAGTAATTATTGGATTTTCAGGTATTTAAAATGCAGCCTGTATGAATTATCAACAATTATTAGTGCAAGTTGATTTTGGTAAATAATGATATTGTCTTTAACTATGAAGCTATTAATTCTTATTTTGTTTCTGATGGATCTGTTGAGATACATTAACATTTTTACTGATATAGTTTTATCTCTAGACTGTAAAAAAAATCTCATTTCCTCACTGGCACCGATAAATTATCGTTACTGATATATGGATATAGGAATTTTGCAATATTCCTTTCGCAATCGAACCCGGGCCATTAGGACTATGAACCCCCTAGCGTTGTCAACTCAGCCGCGAGACCCTATGGATATAGGAAACGTGAATGTATATATATATATATATATATATAATATATATATATATATATATATATATATATATATATATATATATATATATATACATATATATATATATATATATATATATATATATATATATATATATATATATATATATATATATATATATATATATATAGTCTCGTCAACAATACCCCATCCACACTTTCACCACGGGGGAGACATCTCCCGTCACGCAGGGTGCAGTCGCACCTCCACAGATCTCCAGTATCAGCTAATGATACTGGTGATGGCTCAAAAGGGCCACCACTTACGGGCTATTCATGCCCGTGCCACCTTTTGGGTGACTTAATCTTTATCAATCAATCAATCCAGGAAAACGTACCAGCCTCGCTGTGCAGGACTGTGAGGTGGGCCTCTCTGAAGGAGTACCCGAGCGGATTGATCGCCAGGCAGACATAGACGCCGGCGACGCCCGGGGTGGCGTGGGCGATGGTGAGCTTGGAGAGGTAATGAGACTCGCCGCGGGCCACCACGCCCCCCGCGCCTCGTACCCGACGGAACCACCTGCCTCCCAGCTGCCGGGTCGAGTTGGGCGCCTGTGTTCCAGTGCCATCTTTGCCGGCTTCCTCCGCCTGTATCTCCTTCAGCCACTGCAGAGTGATAACGGCCCAGATATAGTTACAGAAATGATAGAAGGATAGAGGTATGATTCAGAGGTACTAGGATGATACCAGGTTACAGGTGTGAAACAGGGGTTACAGGTGTGAAGGAGGGTTAAATAAATGATACCAGGGTTCAGGTGTGTGGAATAAAGACTAAAATAATGATAAATGGAAACAATACAAATAAACATACAGTCACGTGAATTATGCAAGAATACATTAGTCTATCACCCTTGAATTATTAATACCAGGTGACGGGAGGCAACTGACTCTCGCTGGCTCATCATTGCCTCTCATTCTTGTGGGTTCCCTTACATGCTGGTTTAAAAAGTTTCTTGTCGCCTCTTCCAACAGATTCGCTCTCCATGTTTCCTCACCCTCATGTGGTTTCTTGTTTTCCCATTCTATCCTTCCGTGATTGAAGTCCCCCATGATGAGCAGATGGGATCACTCATCGCTGATGGGATCGCTGTGTGTGTGTGTGTGTGTGTGTGTGTGAGAGAGAGAGAGTGTGTGTGTGTGTGTGTGAGAGAGAGAGAGAGAGAGAGAGAGAGAGAGAGTGTGTGTGTGTGAGAGAGTGTTTGTGTGTGTGTGTGTGTGTGTGTGTGTGTGTGTGTGTGTGTTTGTACATATACTATTTTTACCTGCAGGCTCGAGCTCCTGGTCCCCACATTTTTAATCGTCGGTTATATAATGTACTATCTCTCGACAAAAATTTTCCTATCATATCTACTTAGTAATTCTCTTCAACACGCACATCCTCCGGGCACACCTATTTTATACTAGGCGAATAGACGCATCAGATGAAGGATAGCTGTGCCCATTTTCTGTAATCATTCCTAGCAGATGTAACAGTAATAGTCACATAGTGTTATCCCAGTGTTATCGTTAAGTAATGCTGAAATCGCTCTGGAACACAACTGGTTATCGTAGCAAGCAAACATGAAGACACAAAAGATACCAAAGTTATGCACCAAAATCATGACATGCCAGTATACCCCAAGTATACATGAGAGCCAAGATATACAACCATACAACAAGAGCATGTATAACCACAAGTATGTCAATATTGTTACTGAGGGAGATGACGTTTATACAGCAAACATGATGGGATAGGCCTATACCTAGCCACGGAGCTTTATGACTAGGCCTTCTCCCCTTTGGAGAGAGAGAGTGAGAGAGTTACACGAGAAGGTTAGGACAACCTTTTGGAATAGCCGCTATGGAAGAGGACTAGACCTACTCTTCACTAGAAGGGAGGGCAGGAGAGGTGTTCATAAGAGGCTACAGCCCATTTAATTATCTAAAAGCTTGGGCTTTATGCTATCTACTGCTACTGAGGCAGTAGATAGCATACTGGGGCAATAGTCCTGTACTTCAAGCATGTTCTAGGGGCTATAGTTATTCCTACAAACACAGGTTAAATGTGAAGACTTTACTGCATATACCTTTCATTCCTTGGAAAATATCGCCGATTCACACCGGTACGGGCCTCAGGGTAGGTACACTTATCACCTGTACTCCGAGGCAGATACAAGAGATTTGCTTGTACCTCAGGGCAGGTACAGAGAGAAAAATAATCCCTCAACTGCATCACAAGTCAGGTACACGAGTCGCTTGGACTCGTATGACAAAACTCATCAGACACCTGTACCTCAGGTGAAACACCAGTGACACCTTCACCAGAGGATAGATAGGTACACAACTCCACTATAAAGCACACGAGATGCAGGGGAGACTCACCTGAACACTCGGAGGATGTGAGGTGCGGACAGTACACTGGAGGGACGTCGTGCCTCCCTCCACCACAGTCGTGTTGACAGCCTCACTAATCTCCAGCTCGTGATCTTCGCTCGGCTCTGAGAATTACGTTGAAACCCGGTGGTTAGTGTAAATATATGTATGTCGCACCTAATAGTCAGACCTGCACTACTTGGCCCTAGTACGCTAGGTCTGATTTGCTCAACACAGTGATTTCCCTTATTTTCAAATGTTTCTTTCGAAATTGGTTCATTGAAATTAATATTAATATATTAAGACAATTGGGTACAATATATTATATATATATATATATATATATATATATATATATATATATATATATATATGCGAACAAGCCTGAATGGTCCCCAGGACTATATGCGAATGAAAACTCACACCCCAGAAGTGACTCGAACCCATACTCCCAGAAGCAACGCAACTGGTAACTACAGGGCGCCTTAATCCGCTTGACCATCACGGCCGTCAAAGGAAGTGATAGCCGAGGCTATTTGAGCCACTTCCCCGACGGCAACTCGGATGGTAATCTTGGGCATAGCATTTCACCAAATCACCTCATTCTTTGGGGCATATTTGGGGCATTTTTCATATATATATATATATATATATATATATATATATATATATATATATATATATATATATATATATATATATATATATATATATATATATATATAATATGAGAGAGAGAGAGAAAACAACACCGAAATATGAATATTTATTATTGATGCAATAGTGAATACATGACAAAATTTATATGTGGCTGTAGTATAAAACAAAAATATAAAACGCGTGTTTCCCTGATCTGTATGCCCTCTATATCGTAGGGAGCAGCAGGACCTGACTCTGCCCCAGGGGAGCAGCAGGACCTGACTCTGCCCCAGGGGAGCAGCAGGACCTGACTCTGCCCCAGGGGAGCAGCAGGACCTGACTCTGCCCCAGGGGAGCAGCAGGACCTGACTCTGCCCCAGGGGAGCAGCAGGACCTGACTCTGCCCCAGGGGAGCAGCAGGACCTGACTCTGCCCCAGGGGAGCAGCAGGACCTGACTCTGTCCCAGGGGAGCAGCAGGACCTGACTCTGCCCCAGGGGAGCAGCAGGACCTGACTCTGCCCCAGGGGAGCAGCAGGACCTGACTCTGTCCCAGGGGAGCAGCAGGACCTGACTCTGCCCCAGGGGAGCAGCAGGACCTGACTCTGTCCCAGGGGAGCAGCAGGACCTGACTCTGCCCCAGGGGAGCAGCAGGACCTGACTCTGCCCCAGGGGAGCAGCAGGACCTGACTCTGCCCCAGGGGAGCATCCAGGCCTGACTCTGCCCCAGGGGAGCATCCAGGCCTGACTCTGCCCCAGGGGAGCATCCAGACCTGACTCTGCCCCAGGGGAGCATCCAGACCTGACTCTGCCCCAGGGGGAACATCCAGGCCTGATTCTGCCCCAGGGGATCATCCAGACCTGACTCTGCCCCAGGGGAGCATCCAGACCTGACTCTGCCCCAGGGGAGCATCCAGACCTGACTCTGCCCCAGGGGAGCATCTAGGCCTGACTCCTCGGGGGAGCATCCAGGCCTGGCTCTGCCCCAAGGGAGCATCCAGGCCTGACTGCCACAGGAAGATCCAACTATGCAAGACATAGTTGCAGCCCGCTACCCTCTACGAGAACCGTTTCATCTAATGTTCTCATGTCACATCTAAATAGTTAACATAACTGACTTTGAAGTTTGGAGAGCAGCTTGACCTTCGTGGGGCCTTATACACTTAGCTCAAACATTTCAACAAAAGGTGTTGATGCACGATTGCTTGCTTCAAGGAATTAGTATTGCTTCAAGCTAAAAAATTAATTTACCATTAAGGTATATATATAAAATATGATTATAGAATTTCATTATTTATCCGTCCTCGTTTGACTGGTCGTTAAGGAACGGCATCACTTCTTGCATGGTAAGCGTTCGTACCCCAGTAGCCCAAGTGATTGAGTAGGCCAATCTTTCCTTTCAAGTTAAATATAGTCAAACTGACAGAGCATTTTCCTGAAAATTAACATATCTAACACCTGTCATTGTGTTTTCCCGAGATGTTTACTTATTACAACACCTGTCTCAACTATCAATCAAACAGGCGCCGTACATGACAAATATGAAGGAACAATCATTAAGTCTTGTCAAGTATATACAATTACCTCTTGGAATTCTAAGCCGGACCGGCCATGACAGCCTCGACTTACAAAGGCGGGATATTGACTCTTCAGAGGTCGTAAAACAGTAGCATGAGAGGTCAAACACTATTGAAGCATCAACTATGTTTTTTCTATTAGATTGATAACACAAGTAGTTCCAATGCTCATCAACTTTCGTCTTGAAACAACTCCAAAATTTATTAATCACATATATTCACTTATTTGCAGGTAAATAATAATAATAATAAATAATAATAAAAAATATAATAAAAATAATAAAAAAATAATAATTGCATTAATAATGCCCATACCAGCAGGCATGGGGGTATAACTGGATGGTTGAGGTGGTGGGAGGGAAGGTGTAGAGGAGAATGGGATAGGTATTAGAGGAAAGGGGTGGGATAAGGAGAGGGTGAGAGGGGATGGTGGAAGATTTGTTTGGAGAGGGTGGGAGGGAAGGGGGAGGGGAGGTAGTGGGAAAGTATGTGAATGGAAGGTGGTTCTCGAGGTAGTGGGAGAGGGTGGGATGGAACGTTGTTATAAAGGGGGAGAAGGTGGAAGAGGAGATGTGGAGAGAGAGAGGGGGGCAGGAGAGAGGGCAGCAAAGCCTGCCTCTCATTACCTACTAAATCCACATTGAGAGATCTGCATATTCATAATGGCAGGAAACTCCTGGTTCCCAGTCTATCAGCTCTCTCCTCTCTCTCCCTTCCCTCTCACTCCCCTCTCTCACTTCCCTATCTTTCTCCCCCCCCCCCCGGTCTCTACTCCCATTTCCCATCCGTACACACCCCTCACACAACGACGTCACTTGCTCTTCCAAACTGAAATATCTTTAATTTTATCTGCGATTTAACCCCTCCCCCCTCTTCACAACCGCCCCCACCTGCTCTCACAACCTCCCCCCTCCCCCTCACAAACCCCCTACTCGCATCGTTAATCCTCCACCCATCTCACAACCCCCCCCCCCGTAAATGCCAACTCACAAATCCACCTGGATTTGTGAGTTGACCTGGAGAGAATAAACAGTGAGTTAATTACCCAGAATTCCCAGGGAAAACACCCCAGTCTTCAAACATCAACAAAAGGCCCCACATTGGGCTGCTGTTGGAGGAGAACTATAGTGTTCTTGCATAGGCAGACACAACACATGTGCTCCCTGACTGACATCTGTACACCCGCCCCTTGTGTGCCCACCCACGCCCCACTCATGTGCCCACTCTCGCCCCACTCAAGTGCCCACCCTCGCACCACTCAAGTGCCCACCCTCGCCCCACTCAAGTGCCCTCCTTCGCACCACTCATATGCCCACCCACGCACCAGTACTGCCCCCCTCCCACTTCCAATAAGTTCCACTCCTCATCCTCTCTAATACTCTGCTCCTCCACCCACATAATATCACCTCCCCTACACAGACACGCTCGTACGCACCTGTAGAGGCCTCGAAGCCTTATAAAGAGCTATACCTCGGTTCTCCTGAGTCACTGTTAGATAAGCCCTCGATGCTCTCCCAGTAAACTGACAGCTCCCGTGCAGTTATCCACCTTGTTCCCCAACCTAAAATTCCCATTGCGTCACTCCCATAATCAACCCTTACCTATCCCCCCACCCACTCTACCCACACGAGAGCCCACCCTCCCCTAGGCCCACCCTCCCCTAGACCCACCCTCACAAGTGATGCCATCCCCCCCACCGAGCATCCAGAAGCCTGTTCCATCCTTCACTGCCTCTCACCTGGTCTCATTAAAAAGAAATGCGAATATACACATAAATGAATACATGCAGCTCGACTCCTTCTATCTCATTACTTGTGTATTGAGACAGTTCCAAATGAGAGATACTTAGAGCCCGATGAGAGACATAATGGGACGGATACTCGGGGTAATGGTAAGGGGGAGGAGGAGGAGGAGTGTGGTAAGTGGCAGGACTGAGAGAGTGGATTGGGTAAGGGGGGGGGGTGAAAGATGAGAAAGGAAGGCATGGAAGAAGGTTGAGGAAGAAGGGTAATATTGGAAATATAGGAAAAGGAAGAAAGCTGAAAGGATAGAAGAGAGAGAGAGAGAGAGAGAGAGAGAGAGAGAGAGAGAGAGAGAGAGAGAGAGAGAGAGAGAGAGAGAGAGAGAGAGAGAGAGAGAGAGAGAGGAAAGGAGGGTGAGAGGGAGATGGGAGAGGAGGAGGAAGTGAAGTACGAGAGGTAAGTGAGTGGAAGAAACGAGTACTAAATTAAGGATGAAAGGAATTAGAGGAGCTCTTGTGTGCCCTGACGACAAGGAGAGACGCTGAGAGAGACCCTTCAGAGATGCTGAGGTCCGCTGAGAGTAGGAAGACGTACTCAGAGGCTTAGAGACACACAGAGACAGGGACTGAAAGAGAGCCAGAGTGAGAGAGAGAGAGTTCACACATGCTGGGGATACTTTCTGGACACAAGAGCCCTTCGTATCACTGCTCTCAACACTCACACACACTCACATAAGCAACAAGTCAACATTCCTGTCGAATCTGGACGAAAATCTGTGTAATATGATAGACAGAACACAGACGAAAGAAGCACTGGTGGTGTACCAACACGTCACAAGAGGAGCCAAGGGGGGTAGAAATAACCTAAGCTACTCTATCCCATTGGGATGTATTTTCTTGTCTCAATAAACATACTTGAACAAGAGGAGCCAATGTGCAGTAGCTGAGAGTCGCACTCCCAGCACATGTGCAGTGAGAGTCACACTCCCTGCACATGTGCCGGGAGTGTACGTGAGAGGAGAGTGATACACCCTGTGTGGTCAACACCACCTGTTGCTGCTGGCATTGTGCAAACATCATCACAGAATATTTTCCCAAAGACTATATGGTAGTAAGTAATATGGTATTGATTAATATAAAAGGAAAATAATAATAATAATAATGATAATAATAATAATAATAATAATAATAATAATAAGAGTAAGAAGGTTGAAGTTCAAGTACATATTTTGGAGGGCTTGCAAAATCCGGTTGTGCTGTGGATCAGATTACGAAGTTGGGTTAAGGAGATGGAGGATTCGGGGGTTACAGGTGATGGACGGAGGTTACAGGTGATGGGCGGGGGTTACAGGTGATAGGCGTGGGTTACAGGTGACGGGCGGGGGTTACAGGTGATGGGCGGGGGTTACAGGTGATGGGCGGGGGTTACAGGTGATGGGCGTGGGTTACAGGCTTTCATTATACCATTATCTTGCACCACAGATTTGTAACATTGATTTTCAAAATTTACATAACTGATTTACAATACTGACTTAAACAATAACTATTTAAAAATTATTGTTAACCCCGGGAATGATTTAAAAATCGAGTTGTGCTTCAGCTCCTGGGTCGCCTCTTCTAGTTTACTCAATCCATTGTCTTTCCAGACTTAACCTCACTGATTGTTGTGTAAATCTTGGGTCCCTTTAACACGCTCTCCTCTGTTACCCCATCGTCTCGATAGCTACAATGGCTACGTTACCCACTCACAACAAGAAGATCCTGGGTTCGATTCCCAGGCGGAACATAAATAGCTTGGCCCGTTTCTCCTTCTCACGATGCCTCTGTCCACCTAGCAGTAAACAGACACCCGGTATTAGAAGCTGTTGTGTAGGGAAATACTGACCTGGAGGAAGGTCATTATTTCGTCCTTAAAGAGACCTAGACACAAGCCCAAAATATTTATATATACAGAGGCTTCCTGTCCCCGACATAGTGGAAAAAGGTCACTATATATATGACCCTCAAAGCACTTACCTCCAACCTGGAGTGTGAAGTTGGCGGAGGTGCCACCGAGGGCCGAGTTGGCCCTGCAGGTGTAGCGACCCGAGTCTGTTGGCACTAAGCTGCTGAAGGTCAGCTGGTCTCCTTCCTTGCTCAGCAGCAGGTCGTCCTAGGGTGCCACACGCACGCGCACGCACCAACACGCACACAGAAACACAGAGAAGGTCGTTAGTATCAGGAATGAGTTTTAGGTGGTGAGATTCGTGACCATTGTTGGCTGCCTGTATGACACACACGAGCACCTCACTAACGACACACATGAGCACCTCACTAACGACACACATGAGCACCTCAATAATGACACACACACAAGTAATACCAGAGACACTGAGCACGTGACACTGAGGTGACAGCTGACCTGAATGTCACGTGACACTGAGGTGACAGCTGACCTGAATGTCACGTGACAACAGCTTTATGAACCCACACGTGTGACGTAACAAGAGTAAGGACGAGTCAAAACGTGACACACTAAGTCCATTCTAAAAACTTCTAAATGGCTCTCATTAACTTAAGCAAATATTGTTATTAATAATAAAATCAGACATTTCTAAATAAGATAAATATAGGCCTAACGGGAAATATGATGCCATGTTGTCAAATTTCAGGAATAACAAGTTTTTATATTAATTTGTTGAAGAAAGGATTAAGTGTGTATTAGTAAATATGATTTGTGTTACACAGGACTTGAACTGAACCAATTTATATTACACTTATTGTGGTATGAATGTTAATTGAGAGTTTAATTGTCCCCCTTGGAAGGGGAGTGTTCCCCTGTGCCCCCGTTGGAGGAGAGTGTGCCCCTGTGCCCCCTGGAGTGTGCCCCTGTGCCCCCTGGAGTGTGCCCCTGTGCCCCCTGGAGTGTGCTCCTGTGCCCCTGTGCCCCCTGGAGTGTGCTCCTGAGCCCCTGTGCCCCCTGGAGTGTGCCCCTGTCGCCTTGGAATGTATACTTGGTGCATCCATGTGTTCCCCAGTTAGCAATGCAACCCCCTCCAGTAAGTACCGTGTCCCCTGGTCATTAGCGTGAACCTTGCCGAAGACTCACCTTGTACCAGGTGACCGTCGGGGTGGGGAGGCCTCTCGCTCTGCAGGTTAGTACGAGGCCCTCCCCGCGGCGGCGCTGGAGGACGCCCTCTGGCCACACCTCCGTCAGTTCTGGCTTCATCAGGTCTCCTTCCGGCTCCCCGTCCTCTGTGAGGGGTGTAGAGTGGGTGAGTGAGTGGGTGAGTGGGTGAGTGAGTGGGTGAGGGAGTGAGTGAGTAATCGAGCTCTTGTGTGAGTGAGTGAATCCTATGCGAACATCAACATAATGTATTTTGATAAGGAAATCACTAATATAATTTACCCACACATACCCAACATAACCTACCCAATCATTACAAACACACATAAGCTTACCCAATCATTACAAACACACGTAAGCTTACCCAATCATCACAAACCCCCGTAGCGTAGCCTCCAACAGCCTCGTTAGATAACCACCTTGACTAAATAAAAAAAAAAAAAAAAAAACGACACGGAAGCTCCTCTACCAGGCCTCTTGAAGACAGAAAATAATTTTTGCAAACGACCCCCATCCTCTCTGAATCTTACCCCGAGCGATGATTAGCCTGAGATACGGACAGTTGGTGTGTAATTTTGACGTTAATGAGATAAATGCAGCCTCCGCCCTGTACTCAAGGTGATGTGGTACAGTAATGACCTGCTTTACCATAATTTGGCGAGGAGAGCGCCCTTAGTCGCCCTCCTGCGTCCCCACTGATGTCTTTTATCAATACAAGTATATATGTGTTATCTTCATATGTCAATGCTAGAATATATGTTATCATCATCATAAATCAATACATGGATGTTATCATCATCATAAATCTATATTAGTGTGTATATGTTATCATCATATCACTCAAGTATATATATATATATATATATATATATATATATATATATATATATATATATAGATATATATATATATATATATATATATATATATATATGTCGTACCTAGTAGCCAGAACGCACTTCTCAGCCTACTATGCAAGGCCCGATTTGCCTAATAAGCCAAGTTTTCATGAATTAATTGTTTTTTCGACTACCTAACCTACCTAACCTAACCTAACCTAACTTTTTTCGGCTACCTAACCTAACCAATAAAGATAGGTTAGGTTAGGTTAGGTTAGGTAGGGTTGGTTAGGTTCGGTCATATATATACGCTAATTTTAACTCCAATAACAAAAAATTGACCTCATACATAATGAAATGGGTAGCTTTATCATTTCATAAGAAAAAATTTGAGAAAATATATTAATTCAGGAAAACTTGGCTTATTAGGCAAATCGGGCCTTGCATAGTAGGCTGAGAAGTGCGTTCTGGCTACTAGGTACGACATATATATATATATATATATATATATATATATAATATATATATATATATATATATATACATATATATATATATATATATATATATATATATATATATATATATATAAATATATATATATATATATATATGTCGTACCTAGTAGCCAGAACGCACTTCTCAGCCTACTATACAAGGCCCGATTTGCCTAATAAGCCAAGTTTTCATGAATTATTTGTTTTTCGACTACCTAACCTACCTAACCTTACCTAACCTAACTTTTTCGGCTACCTAACTTAACCTAACCTATAAAGATAGGTTAGGATAGGTTAGGTAGGGTTGGTTAGGTTCGGTCATATATCTACGTTAATTTTAACTCCAATAAAAAAAAATTGACCTCATATAGAATGAAATGGGTAGCTTTATCATTTCATAAGAAAAAAATTAGAGAAAATATATTACTTCAAGAAAACTTGGCTTATTAGGCAAATCGGGCCATGCAGAGTAGGCTGAGAAGTGCGTTCTGGCTACTAGGTACGACATATATATATATATATATATATATATATATATATATATATATATATATATATATATATATATATATATATATATATATATATGTTATCATCGTCATTTTTTTCCATTAATGTTCCAAGTATCTGTCATTGTTGTTTTATAATGATTCTAATGTTATTAATAATACTATATTTTAATTAGTACAATGAGTAGAAGTAGGAGTAGAAATGGGAGTAGAAGCAGAAGATAAAGTAGTAGACGTAGTATTATTACTATTACTAATAGTAGAAGTAGTAGAAGGCTTATTAATAGTAACGAGTGTGGTTCTGGTATTAGTAAAGTCTCAAAAGACACAAGTAAAGGACTAAAAGCAAGAACGGCCTCAAAAACGAGAGAACAGCGATAAAGGTAAGAACATAGTCTCAACAACAAGAGAACAGGCCTAAGAACATACATGGAATATGTAAAGAATAATATTAATATTGAAAATATATTCACTGAAACGTTGTATTTAAGTTGTCCCAATGTGACCGCTGAACAAAAATGGGAGGCAAGAGACGGCCCTAGCTCCTGGGACCACGTATTCACTAGGTCTTCCTAGGACCAGGCATTCACCCAACATAAAGCCTGGTAGGTCATCCTAGGACCACGTATTCACCCAACATAAGATAACGTAGGTCATCCTAGGACCACGCATTCACCCAACATAAGATAACGTAGGTCTTCCTAGGACCACGCATTCACCCAACATAAGATAACGTAGGTCTTCCTAGGACCACGCATTCACCCAACATAAGATAACGTAGGTCTTCCTAGGACCACGCATTCACCCAACATAAGGCCTGGTAGGTCTTTCTAGGACCACGCATTCACCCAACATAAGGCCTGGTAGGTCTTCCTAGGACCACGCATTCACCCAACATAAGGTATCGTAGGTCCTCCTAGCACCGATGACCCAGAAAAGTTGACAGTAGAGGCTACTGTCACAATCTATTTATAAAAGAAATGAGTGATGTTAGGAGGGCGTGTTGTTGAGAACACTTACTCAACACGATGAGTGACATGGAGGTGTTGACTTTGCCGAAGCCATTGACGCCCACACAGGTGAAGAAGCCTCCGTCCTCCATATGCGCCGGCTTGATGCGCAGGATCTTCTTCTTCGAAACGTAGCGATTCCAGGTCTCCGTCACCGCCTCCCCGTCCTGACGATGGCAGAAGAGGAGGAGAGTAGTAGAGCAGGGTGGTCTCTCCACTTGTATATTGTTATCCTTCTCTCTGTCTCTCTCTTTCTCTCTCTCTCTCTCTCTCTCTCTCTCTCTCTCTCTCTCTCTCTCTCTCTCACTCTCACTCTCACTCTCACTCTCTCTCACCCTCCCTCTCTCTCTCTCTCTCTCTCTCTCTCTCTCTCTCTCTTACTCTCACTCTCACTGTTTCTCTGTCTCTCTGTCTCTCTCTCACTCTCACTCTCTCTCTCTCTCTCTCTCTCTCTCTCTCTCTCTCTCTCTCTCTCTCTCTCTCTCTCTCTCTCTCTCTCTCTCTCTCTCTCTCTCTCTCTCTCTCTCTCTCCCTCGCACACATTCGGACATAAAGGTATGCATAACAATAACAATAATAATAATGATACTAGGACATAACTCATATAACAATGATTAAATTTCTGACTAATAGATTATTTATTCATTCTTCAATATATTTTTTAGAGTTTTTTGGATCGAGGACTAAACTGTTTCTTATATAGGATCATAAGAATAAAAATTGGAAAGAACCTGCATAGCCAAATTAATTCTTCAGGAATACTTTCTACGAGAACTTCCAGTCAAGATATATCTCTTCCAGACCAAAGGAGAGGGTAGAACGCCTTTACATATTCCCTCTATGGCCTTCTGTGGCATGTGAACGAGCCCTAGTAGACCACGCCATAGGCACTATAACCTTCCATGTTGAACACAATTGGCCCTTTGAGTTCAGTTTCCTTTCTAAGAGGCACGAGAGGCGTTCTCAGGCAGCCTTATCTTCAAAGGGCTATTTTAATACACGATCTCGCTTTAATGCCTAACTTGGACGGAGTATGTGTGAAAGCGGCTGTGATGGAGACCGAAGGAGAGAGAGAGAGAGAGAGAGAGAGAGAGAGAGAGAGAGAGAGAGAGAGAGAGAGAGAGAGAGAGAGAGAGAGAGAGAGAGAGAGAGAGAGTATTCAAGGAGTGTTTGTTTTCCTATTCCTTACTATAACGTTTGTCAGCTTTCCATATGCTGCCGTTTGCTCCCTGTTTGCATACACTCTGTTGTTGATATTATATCCACTACCATTTGTTTCTATCCCGTTTCCAGTAGTTGCCTTCCCCTTATGGTATGGCTATCTTTTGTTCTCATGGCACTCTCATTACATATGTTGTGACTACTTATCATATGCCTCTGTATGACTAACTGAGGATTTTTTAGCATCATGTAGCTAGCTTTTTGACTTTTTTTTTTTATTAATACACTAGGTACATCTGCATTAGTGCAGCTACCCTAGACTATATGAAGTGGAGTACAGTGTGTCAAAAAAAGCTAACTAGGTGATGCTAAAAAAATCCCCATCACACAGGATGGTTAGTCATACAGAGGCATGTGATAAGCGGTCTGCACTGGCAGACTCCGGATGCATTTTGAGGATATCAACAACACAAGATTGAATAAGGTAGCAGTGGTAATACAAGTCCCCATCTCGCAGGATGGTTAGTCATACAGAGCCATGTGTTTAATAGCCTGCACTGGCAAATTTTGGGTATACTGTGAGGATATCTTCAAGAATACGAGAGTGAATAAAGCAATTGCAAAGCTCCAGGTACCTCATGCCAACTGGTCTGAAAGGTCGCACACTGTACTCCCCTTCATTCAGTCTAGGGTAGCTGCACAAATGTAGATGTACCTAATGTATTAAAAAAAAGAAGACTGAATTCAAGAAACGTTTGTGAGTCCACTCCTGAAGTTTGTCGAGGTCTTCCTGTAACTTTCTGCAGTCCTCCTCTGTTTTTACTTTCCTCATCAGCTTTGCTTCCTCTGCAAACATTGACATGTATGAGCTCACGCCCTCGGGTAGGTTATTAACGTAAATGTTAGTTATGGTGGTCGATGTGGTGGTGGTGATAATAGTGGTGGTAGTAGTGGTGATGGTGGTGGTAGTGATGGTGGTGGTAGTGGTGATGGTGGTAGTGATGGTGCTAGTGGTGTTAAACGTTGTGGTGATGATGATGATGCCTTTTTAACCCAATCGAGCCAAGGCATGAGGTCGAGAAGTGATAACAGCTCTCGCCTTCAAGTGGTTGGTGAGGGATGGACAACGTTGTGAGTGTGTGTGTAGTGTGAGTGAGCGTGTGTTAGGGATGCCCGCCCGGCCCCTCCCCCATCTCTCAGTGTTCCACTGTATTGCAGGGAGTGACATGGATAGTAAATTATTTCCAAAGTGCATGTGGATAACAGAAGGCGGATGTGTGTGTGTGTGTGTGTGTGTGTGTGTGTGTGTGTGTGTGTGTGTGTGTGTGTGTGTGTGTGTGTGTGTGTGCGTGTTTGTGTGTGTGTGTGTGTGTGGTGTGTACTCGCCTAGTTGTACTCACCTAGTTGTGCTTCCGGGGGTTGAGCTCTGGCTCTTTGGTCCCGCCTCTCAACCGTCAATCAACTTGTGTACTGGTTCCTGAGCCTATTGGGCTCTATCATATCTACACTTGAAACTGTGTATGGAGTCAGCCTCCACCACATCACTGCCTAATGCATTCCGCTTGTTAACTACTCTGACACTGAAAAAGTTCTTTCTTACGTTCCTGTGGCTCATTTGGGTACTCAGTTTCCACCTGTGTCCCTTTGTTCGCGTACCACCCGTGTTAAACAGTTTATCCTTATCTACCCTGTCAATTCCTCTGAGAATTTTGTAGGTAGTGATCATGTCTTCCCTTACTCTTCTGTTTTCCAGTGTCGTGAGGTGCATTTCACGCAGCCTTTCCTCGTATCTCATGCCTCTTAGTTCTGGGACTAGCCTAGTGGCATACGTCTTGTGCTTGTCTTGTGCTTGACAAGGTACGGGCTCCATGCTGGGGCCGCATACTCCAGGATTTCTATGCGATATACAAGGTTCTGAATGGTTCCTTACACAGGTTCCTGAAGGCAGTTCTGATGTTAGCCAGCCTCGCGTGTGCCGCAGATGTAATTCTCTTCATATGCGCTGCAGGAGACAGGTTTGCGGTGATATCAACTCCTAGATCTTTCTCTCTGCTGTTTCTTGAAGTACTTCATCTCCTGTTCTGTATTCTGTGTCTGGCCTCCTGTTTCCACTGCCTAGTTTCTTACCTTGCATTACTCGGGTTGAACTTTAGTAGCCATTTGTTGGACCATTCATTCAGTCTGTCTAGGACATCCAGTAGCCTCCTCCTATCTTCTCTGTTTTAATCTTCCTCAAAATGTTTGCATCGTCAGCAAACAATGCGAGGAGCGATTCTATACCTTCTGTGAGAACATTTACATATATTAGAAACAGTATAGGTCCAATCTCGCGAATCTGAGACCTTACCCCTCACAGTGACTCGCTGTCTTCTGTTGCTTAGGTACTCCCTTATCCAATGGAATACCTTCCCTTTCACTCCAGCCTGCATCTCCAGCTTTTTCACTAGCATCTTGTGTGGTGTCATAGGCTTTCTGGCATTCCAAAAATATGCTAATTGTGTATGTGTGTGTGTACTCACCTATTTGTGCTTGCGGGGGTTGAGCTTTGGCTCTTTGGTCCCGCCTCTCAACTGTCAATCAACTGGTGTACAGATTCCTGAGCCTATTGGGCTCTATCATATCTACATTTAAAACTGTGTATGGAGTATGGAGTGTATGGAGTATGGAGGCTACAAATGTGTGTGTGTGTGTGTGTGTGTGTGTGTGTGTGTGTGTGTGTGTGTGTGTGTGTGTGTGTGTGTGTGTGTGTGTGTGTGTGTGTGTGTACTCACCTAGTTGTACTCACCTAGTTGTGTCTGCAGGATCGAGCATTGACTCTTGGATCCCGCCTTTCGAGCATCGGTTGTTTACAGCAATGACTCCTGTCCCATTTCCCTATCATACCTGGTTTTAAAATTATGAATAGTATTTGCTTCCACAACCTGTTCCTGAAGTGCATTCCATTTTCCCACTACTCTCACGCTAAAAGAAAACTTCCTAACATCTCTGTGACTCATCTGAGTTTCATGCTTCCATCCATGTCCCCTCGTTCTGTTACTATTCCGTGTGAACATTTCGTCTATGTCCACTCTGTCATCCCTCTGAGTATCTTATACGTTCCTATCATGTCCCCCCTCTCCCTTCTTCTTTCTAGTGTCGTAAGGCACAGTTCCCTCAGGCGCTCCTCATACCTCATCTCTCGTGTGTGTGTGTGTGTGTGTGTGTGTGTGTGGTGTGTGTGTGTGTGTGTGTGTGTGTGTGTGTGTGTGTGTGTGTGTGTCTTATAGTCACATTATTGCGTATGCAGCGACCGCCTTCCATCTCTTTGCTCATCTAAACACACTCACCTGAACATAGTTCCAGGGATATGGTATAGTACCGAGAACTCCTGTCATTGAGTCCACCTACAGGCATGCCCCCGCCCCATCTTGCCTCGAAGGAGTGCCCGCGCGCTCGAGACCTCAGCCACCCGAAGAGCTTCCCCTGGGAAGACAGCAACCCTTACCTTGAACCACTCGTATAGGGGGTCGGGGTGGCCGCTAATCGGACACGTCAACTTAACGAAGTCACCTTCTCGCACCACCTTCCTCGCCTGCCACTGCGTCAACACCCGCGGCTCTCCTGTGACAGAGGATGGAAGGATTATTGAGGGATTATACCCGGGAGGGGGATTGATGGTGATGGGGGATACTCGAGATTACTTGCCGCTGAAGGTAAGGGATTACTGTCCAAGGGGAGATTGGTTAGGTACTGCTGGCTACTGCAGGAGGCTATTCTGGGTTACTGGATGCTGAGGTTGGTTAGTATAGGGATTGGTGAAGGCCATGGGGGCTATGGAGGAGCAGCAGGCGATGTACTGTTGCTGAAAGATAAGGGGAGATCTAGATTAGAAATTGAGGTTAAAGTGTGATGATGGAAGATGAGAGGTGATATGGAGGCGTCGCTGGTAGAGGCACCACTAGCCTATCCATCGCCCCTAAAATGACAGTTCTTATGACAGCTATTTGGCCAAACGTATCAATATGCAATATTGGACCTCCAGAATTTCACGCTATGTATTACTGGATTAGCTCACATGCTATTAAATCGGAAATGTTGCTAAAGGATATAACTAAACCTGTCAGTACAATCCTAAGTCTAATACATGCTATTTTAGGCTTAATATAGTACATATATATGTTAAACTAGGCCTAGGAATATTGAAATTGTTGTAGTTTTATTTTCTCAGCCTATGCAATAGACTGGACTAAACGGGACGTTTTAATGTTCATCAGTATATTGGTTCGCTTGATGAAATAGTTACTATAAATATTATGTGAGAGAGAGAGAGAGAGAGAGAGAGAGAGAGAGAGAGAGAGAGAGAGAGAGAGAGAGAGAGAGAGAGAGAGAGAGAGAGAGAGAGAGAGAGAGAGAGAGAGAGAGAGAGAGTTAGTTGTACTTCTCCTCAGAGATGAATCATTTACTGCAGGAGAGGATTAATCTAGAGAAAGAGAGAAAGAACGGACAAGGGGGATTTGTGATTAATGAGGGGGAAGGGAGAAGAGGATAAAGTGCCAGAGAAGGAAATCCTGCAAGAGGATTTGTCCTTTTGGGGTGAAATCAGGAAAGTAATCCTGAAAGACACGAGGACAAGATCCCCAAAAGTAACTGTTTGTTGCGTTTTAACCCTCTGCAGACCCTCCTGTTACTGTGTACTGGAGCAACACGTAACACCTAACTTGCACAGGAACCCACACCACCAGCCACACCACCACCAGCCACACCACCAGCCACACCACCAGCCACACCACCAGCCACACTACCACCAGCCACACCACCACCAGCCACACCACCAGCCACACCACCAGCCACACCACCAGCCCCACACCACCAGCCACACCACCAGCCACACCACCACCAGCCACACCACCAGCCACACCACCAGCCACACCACCAGCCACACCACCAGCCACACCACCACCAGCCACACCACCACCAGCCACACCACCACCAGCCACACCACCAGCCACACCACCAGCCACACCACCAGCCACACCACCACCAGCCACACCACCAGCCACACCACCAGCCACACTACCACCAGCCACACCACCAGCCACACCACCAGCCACACTACCACCAGCCACACCACCAGCCACACCACCAGCCACACCACCACCAGCCACACCACCAGCCACACCACCAGCCACACCACCACCAGCCACACCACCAGCCACACCACCACCACACCACCAGCCACACCACCAGCCACACCACCACCAGCCACACCACCAGCCACACCACCACCAGCCACACCACCACCAGCCACACCACCACCAGCCACACCACCACCACACCACAGCCACACCACCAGCCACACCACCACCAGCCACACCACCAGCCACACCACCACCAGCCACACCACCACCCCACACCACCACCAGCCACACCACCACCAGCCACACCACCACCAGCCACACCACCAGCCAGCCACCAGCCACACCACCAGCCACACCACCACCAGCCACACCACCACCACACCACCAGCCACACCACCAGCCACACCACCACCACACCACCAGCCACACCACCAGCACCACCACCAGCCACACCACCACCAGCCACACCACCACCAGCCACACCACCACCAGCCACACCACCACCAGCCACACCACCACCAGCCACACCACCACCAGCCACACCACCACCACCAGCCACACCACCACCACACCACCAGCCACACCACCAGCCACACCACCCCTCCACCACCACTACTACCACCACACCACCAGCCACACCACCAGCCACACCACCACCAGCCACACCACCACCAGCCACACTACCACCAGCCACACCACCAGCCACACCACCAGCCACACCACCAGCCACACCACCACCAGCCACACCACCACACACACCACCAGCCACACACCACCAGCCACACCACCAGCCACACCACCACCAGCCACACCACCACCAGCCACACCACCACCAGCCACACCACCACCAGCCACACCACCACCAGCCCCGACACCACCAGCCACACCACCAGCCACACCACCAGCCACACCACCACCAGCCCACACCACCAGCCACACCACCAGCCACACCACCAGCCACACCACCAGCCACACCACCAGCCACACCACCACCAGCCACCACACCACCAGCCACACCACCAGCCACACCACCAGCCAGCCACCAGCCACACCACCAGCCACACCACCACCAGCCACACCACCAGCCACACCACCAGCCACACCACCAGCCACACCACCACCACCAGCCACACCACCACCACCAGCCACACCACCACCACCAGCCACACCACCACCAGCCCACACCACCAGCCACACCACCAGCCACACCACACCACCAGCCACACCACCACCAGCACCCACCACCAGCCCACCACCACCAGCCACACCACCAGCCACACCACCACCAGCCCACACCACCACCAGCCACACCACCACCACACCACCAGCCACACACCACCAGCCACACCACCAGCCACACCACCACCACCCACACCACCAGCCACACCCCACCCCCACCACCACCAGCCACACCACCAGCCACACCACCACCAGCCCACCACCACCACACCACCAGCCACACCACCACCAGCCACACCACCACCACACCACCAGCCCACACCACCACCAGCCACACCACCACCAGCCACACCACCACCAGCCACACCACCACCAGCCACACCACCACCAGCCACACCACCACCAGCCACACCACCACCAGCCACACCACCAGCCACACCACCAGCCACACCACCAGCCACACCACCACCAGCCACACCACCAGCCACACACCAGCCACACCACCAGCCACACCACCAGCCACACCACCAGCCACACCACCACCAGCCACACCACCACCAGCCACACCCACCACCAGCCACACCACCAGCCACACCACCAGCCACACCACCAGCCACACCACCACCAGCCACACCACCAGCCACACCACCACCAGCCACACCACCACCAGCCACACCACCACCAGCCACACCACCACCAGCCACACCACCACCAGCCACACCACCAGCCACACCACCAGCCACACCACCAGCCACACTACCACCAGCCACACCACCAGCCACACCACCACCACCACCACCAGCCACACCACCAGCCACACCACCAGCCACACCACCAGCCACACCACCAGCCACACCACCACCAGCCACACCACCACCAGCCACACCACCACCAGCCACACCACCAGCCACACCACCAGCCACACCACCAGCCACGCCACCAGCCACATCAACATTTTTCGAAATACAAAAACAATATAAGTTTTTAAAAGTTTACATAAATAATGTTTATGCATTTTAAAGCAGTTTTTAATCAAATAATTTTGTTAACATTATCAAATATTTATATCAAACACAAATATTTATATTATACATTTACTAATGTGATAGAAATTAATTTTAGTTAAGAAATTTATTGATATGTATACAAATTAATTGTAGTTCAGAAACATAATTATAGGCAATTAATACATAAGCTGGGATACAGAAAATGCCAACACAGACAGTTGACAGACACAGACAGTAGACTCAATATAGGTTCTAAAACGTGTGTCGGAATGACCATCCTCTGACGTCAGAGTGACGTCACACACACACCTCCTGACGTCACACACACTTCGTGTCGTCAGGATGACGTCACACACCTCGTATCATCATAGTGACGTCTCACACACCTCGTGTCGTCAGAGTGACGTCACAGAGAGAGAGAGAGAGAGAGAGAGAGAGAGAGAGAGAGAGAGAGAGAGAGAGAGAGAGAGAGAGAGAGAGAGAGAGAGAGAGAGAGAGAGAGAGAGAGAGATCTTTCTGTTTTTCACACCCAACAGCTCATTGATGGAATCTGTGGTAGTCACTGGGAACTGCTATGCTGTTCTGGCAGATAACCTCACTATACACTGGTTGGTCTTTCGCTACACTCTTAATGTTTTACAACTGCATCATCGCATCACCATCGTCACACCACCACCATCACAACTATTATCGTCAACCAAATAGTCACTATTACCACCATAAGTAACGCAAGTTCTGCTACATCTAACGTCACCACTACAATGATTTTATCACCATTAAACAGTGCCATGTCTTCCACCTTGATTAATACCCTCATCAACACCATCAATTCATCATTATCACCATCATCAACACCACCATTAACACCATTAATTCTGTCATTAAAACCATATAACCAACAATATTAATTCCTCACTAACACAATCACCAGCATTCGCATCACCACCATCAACACCCCCCAACCATCACCATCAACACCCCTACCATCACCACCACCATCAACACCCCCCCAACCACCACCATCAACACCCCTACCAGCACCACCACCATTAACACCCCCCTCCTCAACCACCACCATCAACACCCCCCCCCCATCCACCACCATCAACAACCCTACCATCACCCACCACCACCATCAACACCCCCCCCCCTCCCACCATTAACACCCCAACCAACACCATCCAAAAATTACAAATAATTTCCAAACATATTTACACTCTCTTGGATGATTCTTAAGCCAATACAGATTTACATGTAAAGGTTTAAGAGGAAATCTGATTGTATCTAAAACATACAA